AAAATTAAAAGATTCTCAGACTTTGGTTAATTACCTCAGGAATGCAGGAATGATTGGTACCAACTAGAATTTAGAAAACTACAAATTCTTCAGCTTGACTTATGAATAAACTTTTAGTGAGAACTTCCCTGTCTCCTGGGACTCTCTGGAGCAAATCCATGGAGATTGATGTCTCACAGGAACCTGTGAAAATGTTCCACGTTAACAAACTGTTATTTTCAGAGAAGGTATCCTGACCTAGCATGAACAGAAGAATTAATCACTCTCAATACCATTCTCCTAAATGCTGAAGAAACCTTGCCATGTCATGAAAGCTTTATGAATAGAATTCAGTAATGCATAAGGACACTTGCATTAAAGTCTAGAAAAAGAGATTCATTTTCTATGCAGAAAAAAAGAGAAAACTTTTCTCTTCCAATTGTGCTGCCTTTATAACCCAACTCTCCTTTTCTGTCAGTCTACTGTGGACAAGGACATACCTTGAGGCTGGAAGTGTTTTCCTGGAAATCAGTAGTGCTGTAAGTATTGCTTTGTCACGGAGAAAGAGTACTATTTTGGAAAAAGCTTTGCTTTTCTCTAAAATGAATTGATATGGCTAGACTTGACCCCTTGAAGTCTTAAAGCAAATCCTAATAAATCAATTTTGGTATCACGCAGAAAAGTCATCACAATGACCTGGACTTGGATCTTCCTCAATGAAAAGTAGTCTTTATTCACCACATCTTACCTAGAACCATCAGTCCTTGAAATGAATTTCAAATTGGTTCTTAGCACAAGTCCCCTGAGTGATTAATCTTGGTTTATTTCTCTTTGTGAATCTTATTCTATATGTGCTTAATGTTTCTGTTTTAGAGTTCTAACCACTGGGCATATTCAAATTTATTCCATAATCAAAGTCTTGAAAATTGAAATTGGACTTCATCAACAATTTTAAAACAAACAAATAAATAAACAAACAAGACTTGGAACATTTTGCTCTTATCCAGGGAAGAAAGTATGTTAATACTTCTCTTCTTTTTGTCTTCTTCTAAAACTATAAAAAGTTTTAGAAAATGTGGGATTCTTTATTGCACCACAAAACTCAGAAAAAAATGACTCAATACAATTTCAAGCTATTGAGCATTAAATGAGTTAAGAAAGTTATCCGTACTCAGGCAGCCTGAAGAAGCTGGGAAAAGAACTAGAACACCGTAAAAACGAAACAAAATACCAGCATATCCCTGATTAGGGAAAGATGGAGCAGAAAGGTTTTCACGCAGCAAAACTCACATCAGAAAAAGCTGGAAGCAGCAGCAAACTTGGAGACAAATTATTTAGCAAACAGTTCCTGTCATGATAGGACTTGAGCATCTGAAATACAGGAAACGGTGACATCTATAAACATGTGCATGTGTCAGTTTCCATAAACTTCTAGGTAACTGGGGATAGAGTGTCATCAAGCTATCCATTTATATAATCATTTAGAAAATATATTTTGAGAGCTTATTTTGTGTCAAGCCCTATGCTTTAGCCCTGCAGATACTATTGCTGCCTGTAAATGGCTTAGAGTCTATAGCAGAAGCTAAGCAAACAATGAACACCATTCTACAAAGTATTCAGGTATAGATATGCACAGGGCATTAGGAAAGTGTGTAGGAGCAGCACCTTAACTGGACTAGAGATGGTAAGTTAAGGAAGGCTTCCCATGGAGGTGGCTCCTGAACTTAAATTTAGAATTCAGACAAGACTTAGCCAAATAATGGAGAAAGTCAGGAAGAGTACTTCTGGTGAAGAGAACAGCGTGGGCAATGACTGGGAGGCAAGAAAGAAGAAGGCATAATTGGGGAACTAGAGCTGGAGTCAGCCAGCTGTTTCTGTAAAGGGCCAGAGAGTAAACATTTTAGACTTTGGGGGTCATATGGTCACTGTCACAATTATTAAACTTCACCATTATAGCACAAAAGCAGCCACAGGCAATAGGTAAACAGATGAGTGTGGCTATGTATTAGTGAAACTTTACAAAAACAGGGCTGTAGTTTGCTAACCTCTAAACCTGAGTAATTCAGTAAGTGTGGAGCATAGAAGAAGGAAGGCAGAAGGAAAAATGGTACATGGCAGAAAATCATGCTGGAAAGGTAGGTAAGACAAGATCATCAGTGGTCTTAAATGTCACGCTGAGGAGTCTGAGATGTTAACTTCAAGGTTCTGAGGAGTGGCATAGTCAGAATTAGAATGGTCCCCCTTGCTACAGTTTGAACCATGGGTAGGAAAGAGCACAGCAAGTCAGGAGACAGGGAGTCCTGTTAGGAGGCTGTGTTCAAAATCTGACGGGAGATGACAGCATGATTTACCGGAGCCAAGGAGAGACGGAAAAAAGGACACACACTAGAGAGTGAGTAAGAAGTAAAGTTAACAGGAGCTGGTGACTTGGACCCTGGTGGATATGCACGAATCCATTTGACCCTATACATTGTGACTTTTTTAAAGGAAAAAAAAAAAAAGTCTAGAGTGTAGGATTGAAATGTAATAGGCATATAGACGGCAGTGTTTAATCCAGTATCTTAGCTTTATAACTTTAGGTTCCTGGGGCTGCTTTCCCGTGTTTCTCTGAATATTGCTTTTACCTGCTAACTTGAGACATCCCCACCTCCCTCCACATCTCACAAAACTTCACATGTGCTCAAAACCCAGTCCATGCAGCTGTCAGGACAGCTACTGCCTGATTCCTCATTCCTGCCACTTCTACCTTCTCAGCATTCCTTCTGCTGAGGACCACTCCCCTTGCCAGGCACTGCCACTTTTGCTGGTATCATTTCTGCTGCCACTGCTGCTGCTATTCCCGGACCCTCATGCTACCAAACCAAGCCATGTTCCTGACAAAAGCAGAGAGAGTATGCCTGTCCCCTGTATGTGCCCCACGTGGTCACCTGGATGCCACAGCAGTGCTGTCTGTGACCAGAATCTCAAAAGAGGTCATGCAGATACCACCTGCAGCCCCTTCCTCCATAAAGCTTAGATCCATATGTACATGTGTTACAGAGAATGGCTGACACCATACTTCACACACACACACACACACACACACTTGCAAACTCCCTGACTCAAGATTTTTTGCTCCAAAAGCTTCATGAAGCTCTCATGTAAACTGTCCTAACTGTTAATTTATCATAAGTACCAGGACAAGTCTGACTCCCAGCTCCAGCTCAAGTGAAATTCTCTGCTCTGGTTCTGTTTCACAAAAACTGAATCCTTGTTTGGAATGCATTCCCCCTCTCTCCTTACTCCACTTTCTTTTCCTGTTGAATTCTAGGACTCAGCTTAGTCCTCTCCTTGTTTAGAAAAACTTCCTTAACCCCTGCTAAAGATGGGTGAAAAGTCCCTTCTAAGTGTTTTTAAAACAATCTGTGCACAACTCTACACTTTCCCTCACTGAGTCATGTTGTAATTATTATACTATATGTAGTATCTAACTATCTATCTCTATCTAATCTACCTATCTATCTATCTATCTATCTATCTATCTATCTATCTATCTATCTATCTATCTGCCTATCTATCTATCTGATAAGCTCTTTAATTGCCTAGCAGGACTTGAAGCATAGTAAGCTCTCAACAAATACTTGTGGAATTCATAGGTCTAATTCTCCAAATGGTAGAATGTGTAGCCCTTGGAAATATGATATTGAGCTATAGAGATTGCCACTCTTCTCTGCATGGGGAATGAAGATAATTCCATACCTATCCTATAGAAAGAGACCAGGTTCGCAGCCAGTTATATTGGCCATTAGTGCAAATTCAAATACTTCTCTGTCTCTCATCGTTTTGTGGAAAGGCACTAGAGCTTGCGACATTGTAGACAAAGAATCTTTTCCTTGTCTAGAAAAGAGGTGGGAGAAAATGGAAGTGTTTTTCTTCCCTAAGCAAGCCCTCAGAGAATTACAGTTATCTCACATGAGGGAAGAATGAAACAACCTATCAATGACCTGTAAGTTGCCTGTTTCATGCTAAGTTTCTCACGCACTTTGAAAATTGTGAAATTCATTTCACGGTAATTTATCTTACCCATTTCAAAGGAAACCCATATGGAAGACTAGCCTCAATAAGAAAGGAAGTAGTTTTACTATTTTCTGCTGAATTTTAGTAGAACAGAAAGGATGTTCTCAGCCTATGAATTTACATATACAAATAGAAATACTTTACTTTGTATAAAAAGACATTTAGTCACAAAAAAAGTTTTGACAAAAATGTACTTTTCAGAGTTCCAATTTTGTTATCCTTAGCATTTGCTAACCTTTCACTTTTGAAGATTAGAGTCTGCAGATCTTTATCCCATATACATTTATTAGGTGCTTCCATATAACAGGCTTTGACTCAGCTCGTTCTGAGATTTTGAATTTGAGTTGAATATATCTCTCTACTTCCTAAACAGTTTTATTCATTTAGTTTTAAATGTTATTTTTGATTCCTTTAACAAAGGAGTCTGAACTAGAATATGGAAGTGGATTTTTAGAAAAACACCTGTTCTGTTATCTAACTTGTATCTCACCACTAATATAACAGCAATGATTTGAGGCTATTTCAATAAACACACTCACACCCACACACAATGATGGCTTCCTTAAATGTATCTGTAATATAATCAGTAACACTTTTTCAGACTCTGAGAGCAGGGATTAATTTCTTATGAACTCACAGCCATGTGTATGTACATATGTTGTTATACACACTATTCATTTAAAATAGTCATATGAATAATTGACAACAAGCAACCACATTTAACATGATTATTCTCATAGTTGTATAAGGGTGAAAAAATACTTTGCATTCATCAATACATTCAAAGTCTATTAGAAGCTGGTTTTGCTGACAAAAGAACCAGCCAAGTCATCAGTAAAGAAGGATTGGCCAGTGTGTATTTATATGTGGATGAGGGAGGACTTGACATAGTCAGAATCCTCCTTATTTTTTGTCCCAACTATAATCAACTGTGCTCTAAGATTCTCAGGAGCTTTCTTGCTTGTCTTTCTAGGGTATCAAGGGACATGAGAAATGGGACGGTAATCACAGAATTCATCCTCCTAGGCTTTCCTGTTATCCAAGGCCTACAAACACCTCTCTTTATAGCAATACTTCTCATCTACATATTAACCCTTACAGGCAATGGGCTTATTATTGCCATCGTGTGGGCTGTGCCCAGGCTACAAATTCCAATGTACTTCTTCCTTTGTAATTTGTCTTTCCTAGAGATCTGGTACACCACCACAGTCATCCCCAAACTGCTAGAAACCTTTGTAGTGGCAAGAACGGTAATCTGCATTTCCTGCTGCCTGCTGCAGGCCTTCTTCCACTTCTTCCTGGGCACCACCGAGTTCTTGATCCTCACTATCATGTCTTTTGACCGCTACCTGGCCATCTGCAAGCCCCTTCGCTACCCCACCATCATGACCAGCAAACTCTGCCTGCAGCTGGTCCTGAGCTCCTGGGTGGTGGGCTTCACCACTGTCTTTTGTCAGATGATGCTGCTCATCCAGTTGCCGTTCTGTGGCAATAATGTTATCAATCATTTCTACTGTGATGTTGGACCCATTTTGAAAGCCGCCTGCATAGACACCAGCATTTTGGAACTCCTGGGTGTCCTGGCAACTGTCCTTGTGATCCCAGGGTCACTCCTCTTTAATATGATTTCTTATATCTACATTCTGTTCACAATCCTACGGATTCCTTCAGCCACAGGCCGCCAGAAGGCCTTCTCTACCTGTGCCTCGCACCTGACAGTTGTCTCCCTGCTATATGGGGCTGTTCTGTTCATGTACCTAAGACCCACAGCACACTCCTCCTTTAAGATTAATAAGGTGGTGTCTGTGCTAAATACTATCCTCACCCCGCTTCTGAATCCCTTTATTTATACCATTAGAAACAAGGAGGTGAAGGGAGCCTTAAGAAAGGCAATGACTTGCCCAAAGACTGGTCATGCAAAGTAAAACATGCAACACATCAAAATGAGCTTAATGCAGATTAAAAACAATTAAAGTTGAGAGAGGATTTTGGAGAAGTTTGGTAAAACAGGCTCCCCCCAAAATCCCAGAAGTTCTGATTAAATGCTATAGTAAGATAAAGATGCAAAAGCAAACCATCATGGTTAGGGTCTCCTATGAGAACTTGTTACATGTAAATGAACTAGGAGTTTTTCTTGAGAAGAAACAATGTAATTCTTCAACAAGGAAATCTCAGGATATCCTCAGATGCATGAAGTAGAACTCTGAACTTGTCAATGGTAAACTGAAAGTAGAAACCACTAAGGTCAGTCACAAATGTCAACAACTTTAAAAATGTATAAGGAATCCTGTCTCCCTCTTTGTTTATGACCACCATCTTTTTTTTATGACCACCCTCTTTGCCTCATCTTCTTGTCAAAAATATAAAACATTCCACATCTCATTTTCTTAGTTCCTATCATCTTCATCATAAGAGAAGCACGCTATAGACTTCTCATAATTCTAATGTTCCTTCCAAAATGTTTGAAATGAATCAGCTTTGTGTTTGACAGTATCTCAATAAGGGGACTTCTATCTTGAAATAATCCAAATTTTTAGATAAACTTAGAGGTGTTCATCCTCAGATAATACCAAAACTTGAGAACATCTTATAAAAATTTCCATTTACAGTTCATGGATTACAGCAGTTCCTGGGCTCCAATATAAGTAGACCAAGTGCCTAGGAAGCTAGGAAAAGTCTCAGAGCCAATATATCTAGAAACGCTTTCCTACTGGAAAATGCAGCCCCAAGGTTACATGAAGCTCAGGGTTCACATGTAGGTTGTCACTGAAACCTCCAGGGTTCAGTCAGGTCCTGGTGCTTGCTGCACAGAACATCGATCACCGAGTCACTGAGCATTGCCAGGGAAGAAGGCTTTAACTGAATGCTGCAGCCAAGAAAAATGGGAGGTAAAGTCTCAAATCCATCTCCCCAAACGCCTAAAATTGGGAGGTTTTATATATAGTGGAAGGGAGGGAGAATAGGAATTAGAGAGGGGTAAGGAAGAAGAGTTGGTAAGGTGAGAAAACAGGAATTAGGGAGGGTAAGAAAGCCATCATGATGAATGAGGGGCCAGGCATCTTGTTGTCTGGATTGGTGATCTAGTGGGCTTCATTCAGTCTTTTGCCCAAGAGTCAGTTTCCTGAGGAAGGAACTCAGTTAAGACAAATGTAAGTTTCAGGTTTTAAGACAGAGTGTCAATTTCTGTGTTCATTTAAAAATCCATAAATATCTTTTGTGTGGGACAACTGGGCTGGTTTCAGGGTTAGTGTGCAAAGTCCCTCAAAGTAGGCTACAAACCTACTGATCAGACCTTGTCTTTAGGTAAGATATCTTTTTAGGCAATGATAATGCAGGTGATTCAGTTTGTGATAATGAGTATTAGATATGTCCTTTCCCAACAGTAAAGAAAAACTAGCATTAAAAGACCATTAAACTATGGCCAAAAAAAAAAAGATAACTGCTGTAAACACAAAATAAAATTCTAAGGGTCCCTCAGTCATCTGAATGGACTCCTCCTCTTGGCCAGGGCACTCCAAAGTTAACCTGAAAGACTGGTTCAGATCATGACAGGAAGAAGGGGTCAGACACGCCTCATTATGCCCTCCTCCCTTTTGGAATTCAGGAAAAGCTGACCAGCATTTAACATCAACACAGACCTTAAGTCTGATAAGAAACATTTACAAATGTACAATCTATTCTCTCTGAAGCTTACTACCTGGAAGCTGCATTTGCATGATAAAACTGGTCTCCACAACCCCTTATCATAACCCAGACATTCCTTTCTATTGATAATAATTCTTTCAACCAATTGCCAATCAGAAAATTTTTAAATCTACCTATAACCTGGAAGCCCCCCGCCCCCTACTTCAAGTTATCCTACTTTTCTGGATAGAAACAATGTATATCTTAAATGTATCTGACTGATGTCTCATGTCTCTCTAAAGTGTATAAATCCAAGCTGTGGCCCAACCAGCTTGGGCACATGTTCTCAGGATCTCCTGAGGGCTGTGCCACAGGCCATGTTCACTTGTATTGGGGTCAGAATAAATCTCTTCCAATATTTTACAGAGTTTGACTCCTTTCATCAACACTGCACATTCCTTTTAATATTGAATTGAAAATTCAAAACAAAATGTAATGAGAAAAAATATTATTATCTCAACTGTACCTGATTTTCTCTTAGAGAGGGAACTGTCTTGGAGCTGTGCAGGAGAAATAGATTATTTGGAAGTAAAGGAAGGGAGAGAACCTAAGGACATTAATATTATCATGAGCTCTATCATCAAAGAATGGTTTAGAGTGCCCTGAATGAGAAAAAAAAAAGATAACATTTAATATTTTCCAAAAAAGAAATGACAGAGAAAGGAAGAAAAAAGGAACCCAAAACGGAGCAAAGCAGAGGAGTCTGTGGGAAGAAGTCAGTGGAAATTCCTCAGAGTCAGGGCACCTAAAAAGCAGTTTAAGAATGGAGATGCCTAATGCTCGGTTTGAAGTCACATTTCTACAATGTTGATCTGTCTTGCCCTCAAACCTTCAGTAAAGTCTCCTATATTACCAAATGCATGTATGAACAGAACATGCATGTCACATGCATTCATGTATGTGTGTGTGTTGTATGTGAGTCAAGGAGGAATAAAGTTTCATGTCTGGAATTATATAGTTTGGATTAGAAACAGCCCACAGAGAATATCACAGAGATGGCCACAGAATATGCAGAAATTTTAGGAAGCACTTCACATTTGCAGGGGCTTGGGCAAGTGCTCAAGGTAACCTAAATCTAGAGGTACTGGAACATCTGGGCTATATTATTGCTTTTAAAAAGTTTTTAAAAATTTGCCTTCGAATCTCATAAATATTAGTTTTTCTGGGCCTAGCCTATGACCCTAAGGGTTTCATGTCCAATGGCAGACAAAGGGTAGGATAAAAACATTTTGGCAGATCCAAGAAAAGGGGGAAGGAGGGAAGAACAGGTGTGAGAATACCACGAGGCTTTAATTCATAAAACTTAAAATAGACAACATTTATTCATGCATGTTTATGTCTTACTGATATATTGATATCATATACCAAGCTATGTTCCTGGTACTGATTCTACCGGGAAAAAACGTGTGTGTGCACATGTGTGTAGGGGGGTATTACAGTAGTCTGCAGGGGTATTAGTTCTAGGAGTTGAAAATGCTAGAGTTACAGAAGTCTATCCAACGGTGAAGCCTCCTGAACATCAAGAATGATATGAATTACAAGAAGACTTTCAGGGAAGCATGCCTAAGATCTGACTTTCCCTCACCTACAAGGGAGGCAAAGACATGAAGGAGATTGTGGGCGGCCTCCAGTGTCCAGAGAAGATAGAGTGCTGTTTTAAAGAAAAGGAGCCCTGGCCACAGAGACAAGACAGAACTTGAGACCTCACATTGTACCCTACTGTTTCTCAGGTCTCTAAAGCCAAAATGTCTTTCCTACTCTACTTTTCTCCAGCAGAGTAAGGAATTACAAAAAGATCCATTCAAACAATATCACGAACAACCTACCCAGATCCCTGGATATTATTTTTCTAGTATCAATAACTTTAATGACAAAGTTGAGCGCCTGGATAGACCTGAAACAAATCTTTAACAATTAACTTTAGAGATAATTTGTTTTATGAAAATACACACACTTAAGTAAAGCAGTGTTTTCATGATGCCACAGGATAATCATAAACAGGACTCAGAATTCAAACTGGGTGGGGGGAACGCAGGGTTAGAAAAGGTTAAGTAGGTTCCTTCATTATTGAACTTCTGAGAATCCATAACACTAAGTTAGAGAAAATAATTTCCAAATCTCAAACATATGTGTATAAAAGTACCTCCTATATGATCTTGAACCCAACATAGCTTTATTCATCCCATCTTGGAATTCATTAAGACTTATGCCCATACAGAAACAGACACAGAGACCAATGGAACTGGTTAGAAAATCCAGAAATAAAGCCACACACCTACAACCATCTGATCTTCAACAAAGTTGACAAAAACAAGCAATGGAGAAAGGACTCCCTATTCAATAAATGATGCTGGGACAACTGGCTAGCCATATGCGGAAGTTTAAAACTGGATCCCTTCCTTTCACTATGCACAAAAATCAACTCAAGATGGAGTAAAGACTTAAATATAAAACCTAAAACTATAGAAATCCTAGAAGAAAACATAGGAAATACCATACTGGACATAGGTCCTGGCAAAGATTTCATGATGAAGACTCCAAAGGCAACTGCAGCAAAATAAAAATTGACAAGTGGGACCTAATTAAACTAAGGAGCTTCTGCACAGCAAAAGAAACTATCAACAGAGTAAACAGCCAATCTACAGAATGGGAGAAAATATAAGCAACTTAAACAATTCAACAAGCAAAAAACAAACAATTCCATTAAAAAATGGGCAAATGGCATGAACAGACACTTCTCAAAAGAAGACATACACGTGACCAACAAATTCAAGGGAAACAATGCCCAACATCACTAATCATTAAAGAAATACAAATCAAAACTACAGTGGGATATCATCTCATATCAGTCAGAATGCCTATTATTAAAAAGTAAAAGAGAAATAACAGATGCTGGCAAGGTTGCAGAGAAAGGGGAATGCATACACACTGCTGGTGGGAATGTAAATTAGTTCAGCTACTGTGGAAAGCAATTTGGAGACTTCTTGAATGTAAAACAGAATTGCTATTTGACCCAGCAATCCCATTACTGGTTATAAACGCAAAGGAATATAAATCATTCAACCATAAAGACACATGTACACATATGTTCACCGCAGCACTATTCCACAATAGCAAAGACATGGAATCAACCTAAATACCCCTCAATGATGGACTGGATAAAGAAAATGTGGTACATATATACCATGGAATACTATGTGGCCACAAAAAAGAATGACATCCTGTCTTCTGCAGCAAAATAGATGGAGCTGAAGGCCATTATTGTAAGCAAATTAACACAGGAACAGAAAACAAGATACCACATGTTCTCGCTTATAAGTAGGAGCTA